TGTATCAGTCATAAAATGCACAAAAGCAGAATGAAGTAAAAAAAAAGTTTAAGAAGAAATGACAAATAGTCAGAAATTAAAATGATTAAATTTTATACTTCTTAGCTTGTAAGGAAAAAACGAAAAGAAAAAAAAACAATGATACATGCAGGTTACAGCTTAAATACAAAGGTATAACATTCGCTTCAGAAACGTTCCACAGTATAGACATAATCAGTGATAATCGAACTATGCTATCTAACTTTCAAATATTTTCTGATAATTGCTTTTAACTGCAGTTGTGAAATCTGACCTGTTGTTGGCAACCTTATACCTGTTAAAATCGTTCATGCATATCGCTTAGCACGTGGATATGATACAATCGGTCAAGTTTTGAATCAGATTATACCGAAACAATTTAAAATAGTACATGTCCTTCTGTAAATTTATTGCGTCCATTGGGATGCACATTTATTGAAATAATGCGTCCTGAGTAAAATTTGTGCGTAATTTACGCAGGACGCACATCAAAATGAATCTCTGCAGAAAGATAGGATTTATTTTTTTGTCTTTCTCTTTTCATATACTTATTTTTTATTTTCTTTCTCGATATTTATGAAATCAGTGTTCCATTTTCTTAACGCCAAGTGCCACCCAAACTATAAAGAACACTTTAAGATTATAAATGAAAAGATATGATCACTTCTTTATTTAATTAAACCTTTTTAACATCCGTTACCAAACATTTCAGAGAATAGACTCGTTATGTTCTTAATGTATAAATGAAAAAAAAAAATGGTGAAGATAATGAAAAGTGATCAATCCCAAAAAAAGAATATACAAACAATACAAATCTGTGAACAGGGCATAAAACACGGACCCCCGGAAATTCCAGAGTTGGGATCAGGTGCCCAGGAGAGTAAGCATCCCTCGTTGACAAGTCACACCCGCCATAGGCCCTATATATTGAACAGGTAGACGGAACATTTCGTAGTCAAATTTAGTATATCAAGCATTCTGAGAGTATTGCATTAGCAATACTAGTCCCCTACCGGCAAGTGTTATCTGGTTCCCGTTAAAAAATGAAAATGCCATTATTCCGTCAAAAATCGATCAAGCGAAACGAAATTCAAACTTGATCTGTAACTCATCAAGGTAAAGTCACATACCAAAAATCAGCTTAATATCTGCAAGCGTTTAGAAAAAAATGCGGAAAACCCTGAAAAATTGAAAAGGTCGTAATTCCGTCAAAAATCATTGAAGCGGGACGAAATGCAAACTTGATCTGTAACTAATCAAGATACACTTACATACCAAAAATCAGCTCAATATCTACAAACGTTTAGGAAAAAAGTGCGGAAAACCAAGTGGGACAGACAGGCAGACAGACAGACGGACAGACTCAGAGGAAACCTATAGTCCCCTCCGGTTTCACCGGTAGGGGACTAAAAACAAAGGCCTAACAATTGGTACATGTAAGAAACACGCCAGCCAATATAAGACCCATTTATAGGTTATATTGGCTAAAAAAGTCATTATAACGACCATAGAATTTACAAAATGCTGACTTAAAAACAAAGGTTGCTAAAATCCCTGTAGCATCAACTTATTTGTCATTAGCCTGTTTAAAAAAATGATCGTACCGAGTTGGGAGTAATAGGTTGGGAGACGCTTACACCATATGCAGGTGATAGCGGAATATTACTATATAAATAATTATTTGACGATGGAAAAGTTGCAGTCATCTCGTTTGTCATACATGTACAATTTAGTTGTTAGTTGTCCTTATTGTCTATAGTCAGTTAAACATCCAAATATGAAACAGATGTGGCAGAATCTGTGTTGTCTTTTATTTCAAGTTCACTGGGATATATCGATTCGACAGATGAATGAAAGTACATGTAAGTATTGTTAATTGATAAAACGTCGTCGATACATCTGGATGTCGAGTTGAAGGCTAAAACAATTGTTTTCTTCTCATGTAGATGGTTTTGAAAAAATTATACATATAAATATAAAATCAGGTCGGCTAATAAAGGAGCACAAAGTGCTAATCGGATTTCCAACAATTTGTTGAAAGCCCTGACCCCAAGACCATAAACTGAGAACAAACTTAAGTCAAAATTTTAATTTTTAATATCTTAAGTTTCATTCAATGTATTAGCTTAAAAATTTGCAAATGTGCAAAACACTTCAATTCAAACAAATGATGAAAATCTAATTATCAAAATTATTTGGAAAGTTATATCGATTCGAAATTTTGACTTAAGTCTGTTCTCAGTTTATGGTCTTGGGTTCCGAAGACTACATAAATGTTGTCAATGAAAAACTCCAGCATCCTTTTAAAATCAACTTTAGAGTACTTGTGTACGGAAGCCGGTTGGTGCCAGGTAGAAAAAATATTTTTTCTGGCGGCCGCCAGAAAGTTATCTGGCGGCCGCCAGATAAAATATTTTTCTACCTGGCACCTACCGGCTTCCGTACTTGTGTGTAGAATCAGAGTGATTTTTAACAAAGCAATTTTGATGATTGGCCAATCATCACAAGATACTAAAAATTTCGAGTTCCATTTGTTTTGAAGAAGCAGACGTCTATGATATCAAAAAGCCTAGAGGAAAGGTTGTATATGTGGAAAAGTCGTACCTTTTGATTTATTAAATTTTGGGAAAAATTGGTGATTTTAAATTTTTTTAACAGTTCTTTGGAGTTTTTGAGAATCCACATCAGATTTACATCACTTCTAGAATATGCTGTAGCACAGTACGCCTGAAGTTTCTCCTTTACAATAGTTAATATTTTTGTAAGCAGCAGAGATAGGGGCTTGGTAGAGACTTGCTGATCCGGCAATGTATCCGCCTTTTGGGTAATACAATAGCCATACAGCAAAAACAAATATATACTTAAATACCTATAAAGGTTGTATTAAAGTGGAAACTAATTTATGAATTATCGTTTCCACCTAAATTCTTAAGGGAGGATAAGTTCTTGTAACGCTTGTTAATGCTTTCATAGCGACAAGATTTTATCAATCAATTGACGAATGATATTTACTTTGACCTCTGAAAAGAGGGGGTTGAATTATGCTGATGATTGTTGTTTACACTCTTCTGTATCGGAAAAATGAACTCCAGTTAACATTAGCCTATTTAGCGACACGTGGAAAACAGTGGTACGTCTATATTTTGGCAGTTTATATGATTTGATACATTACAAAAATAAAGGGAGATGTAGTTTTAAAGGAAATACACCCCCTTATTAATTTTTTGCAAAACATATTTCATTTTATTCCTATTCCATGAAAGAGAACAATCTAAATACGAGCGACAATAATATTCCAATTTGGAGTCATATAAGTGGGATTGGCGGAATTTTTAATCCGGACCGTCTGCTCGCGAAAATTTCACTGTCGCAAGTATTTGTATTACTAGAATCCAAATTTCATGAAAATTTAGTCCCGCTTATACATGTACTAAATAACTGTCTCATCTTCGTACCATCTTCGTACAACACAAGGAAAAGTGTTTAACGATCTATGTCTCACACAAACAACGTTTGTTTGTTTGCTTGTTTCTTTGTTTTTGTTTTTTTTATATATATATACAATTGTTAGACCATCGATTATTTACACACTGAAATGTCTACGGATTTTCCCGTTTTTTCCCGATCATGACAAGGAGCACATGGCGGGTGTGACCGGTCGGCAGGGGATGCTCACTCCTCCATGGCACCTGATTCCACCTCTAATATTTTAGGAGGTTCAGGTTTGCTCTGTTCCCGATTTGTATTGTTTTAATGGATTTTGAGCTTGAGTACTGTTCGTTATCTCCATATTTCATTAAGCATTGGTGGTCGGAGATTTAAAGGAACATATTGGACTATCGTAGTACGCGATGATTACCTTCTCAATGACCTTCGAGGATTCCACCTGTAATTGTAAATTTGTAAATATACATGTACGCGGATGCTGCCAGCACACATTGTTGTCGACTCAGTCAATACCAATTAACGCCATCAAGGCACACCAGTATACTGTCACCTGCAAAAGTACATTGTAGGTGTCGGTGGGCGACAATATATCCGACAACAGTAGGTGTCTATGGGCGAAAATATATCCGACAAAAATAGCTGTCAATGGGCGACAATATATCCGACAACAGTAGGTGTCGATGGGCGACAATATATCCGACAACAGTGCATGAAAGTGTCAATGGGCGACAATATCTCCGACAACAGTAGGTGTCAATGGGCGAAAATACATGTATATCCGACAACAATAGGTGTCAATGGGCGAAAATATATCCGACAACAGTAGATGTCAATGGGCGACAATATATCCGACAACAGTACATGAAAGTGTCAATGGGCGAAAATATCTCTGACAGCAGTAGGTGTCAATGGGCGACAATATATCCGACAACAGACATTTGTTTTTACTTTAAATAATTTAACCAACTTACAGGAGAATTAAATCAAGCCATGTTGACAACTTACCGCTATAAAATGGATAAACAGCAATATTGATACAAGAAACTTATAATTCTGTAACCCTGAAAAAATCTTTAAATTTAACACTTCAAAAGTAAGTTTTTCAATATAAATTTACTTGTTCATTAAGTTTTCTTACGTTAACAAAGAAATATTTTGTCTTGCACGTGTGTAAGCATAATGAAAATAATTGCGAGCCTATATTTTACGGGACATTAAATTGTCAATAATAATGAAAAAGAATAGTATTGTATGTAAAAAAAATTTGAACTTGTATGTAAACAAAATTTGAACTTGTACTTATTAGCTTTATTAATATATTTATTTATTTTTATTTATTTTAATAGTATTCTAACGATATATGAGAAGTGCTTAAAAATCGCAATTCTCTCTCTTTGAACAAAAAACATCTGGATCTTGGTTGAATTTTGATTTAGTATTTCACATGAGATGAATGTGCATTGTACGTTTATCGTCTGCCGGATAATCCACACCAGCTATCATAATGTAAACTTGCTGTTCAATTCTCTCCCGGAGAATTGACCGAGCCGCAGGGAGAAGCTGCGTTTTCCGCATCAGCAACCATAGGCGATGAATCATCCAGTATTCCGTACAATAATAACGCTGTTTTCTCATAACAAGCACGTGTAGTTTTTATCAAAATGGAGGATTTATTGTACATCAACATATCTGATCCATCACTTTGGCGTTTGTATGAAATAATCTGCTGTCTATGATTATGTGTATACATTCTTGGATCGACATAATCAAAATACTGTCGTAACCACCTGTGGACCTTCGCCGGTTCTGGTACCTCCCGTTTTTGAGGAGATGATTGATGTATCCCTGGGCCCCTCCCTTAGTCGGAAGAGGACGTATGGGTTGGTGCCAGGTTCCATTAAACAGAACGGCGCACACGGAGACAAGAGTCCGGAGATAGAACAGGATCCGGGTAAGTACCCAGAATTCCACAGTGTCAAAAAGAAATGAAGTGGCGGATCTCATTCTTGCATGATAGATGCATGTTTAAGACTCTGTGCCCTTAACACGTGGTATATTCTAATCAGTTATTTATTTAAACATTTTAAAAAAAAAATAAAACTGTATTCCGTTTGCTACTGTGTTTAACACGTGTGTTCAATAGTAAAAAATTCAAATATATACTTCAAAAAAATATCCTAAATTAATGCTTTAATTGCTGTATTCATTTACTTCCAAGTTTTTGTTTTTTTACTAAAACCAGGTAATGTAAATACACATGGTGTCATAATTATAAACTCTGTTTGTTTATCAACTTTTTAATTCCTTTTAGCCGTTATTCATCCGTAAAATAAATTGTAAACTCTTTTCTGTAAAGGATAATTCTATCATGATTTTATCATCATTTCATTCTTGTTACTAATCCTATACATCATACTACACTGCACATCTTTAGTACATTGTACATGTACATAATCATGTCTGACCAGCAGAAGGTGTTGATTTAATCCTCTGTCCTATTTTTCTCATCTGTTTCTTATAGAATGAACTTCGCTTACAATGTTTTCTTAATCCAATGTTATTTATATTTTTAAGATACAAAAAATAAACCGCACTTGCTTCCTACAGAAAATACATTTTGCTTCCATTTCCGTTCTGCAACCCTATTTTTATAAGATTATTTTTTTAAAAAAATCAATGATAAAGGTGCTGTGACATGAAATTTAATAATTAACCTGTACCTTTGAGCGGCAGAAACCAAGCGAATATTATTGATCAATTTCTGAGTATGAATTCAGTGGTATAATATTGCCTCATTTTGTATTGATTGAAGAAGTCATACTTGTGTATCGTTTTCTATAATTGCTTTATCAGACGAAAATGGATAGAGTACACTTCACAAATACGAACAGATACGGTAAGAATGTTGCACTATTGCAACATAAATACAAGTATGTTTTTATAGTACTCTCGACTAATGATTACTATTTCAGTAAACACGTTATTGGAGAAATTAGGGAGTTTGTTATTAAGCTGATTGTTGTAGGACTGAAACATTAATTATAGTAATGAACAATTTTATGAAATGAGAGAGAAGCACATTTGTGTAGAATTACATAGAATGTGAATAACTGTGCTTAAGTCTCGATCAGTTAGACAAAGGCCGGTTTGAGTTAGCCAAGATTGTACTAGACCCACCCACCCCCCTCTCACGCTTACTCCCCGATAATAACTAAATTAAACAAAAATAAAATCCTTTCTCAAAAATCTTTTTTTATCATTTAAAATCTCTTTTTATATATATATATAATTTAAAATCAAAATTCTTATTAAATCTGAAGGAGTATCAATGCATTTAATCCATTTAAAAAAAAAAAAAAAAAAAATATTAGTATTTTTATTTAATATTAGTAGTGATTTTTTTCCAAAAGAATTTTGTGGAATATGATGAAAAGGGGGATGTCAATGTGACAACAAACCTGGTTTTCTTTTGTGTGAAAAGTACTGGTGTTTCTCAAATAAATTATAAATCAAATTATTCTGAAAAGTATAGGAGATGACATAACAAAAATATCAATGTATATTTTGTACCCTATGAAAATATTTTGCATAAAAATATTTAAAGGCTAATTTCAACAATTTGTATTTTTTTCACATAAAAGATCAAATATCAGAATCAAAGTAGTATGCATATCTCAGATTTATGTACAATTGAGCTGCAAAATCAGAAACTGTAGGGGGAGTTTTACCGAACAAATGATGCACCCGATAAGCAATATTTTGTTAAAAAATAACTAAGTTCAACAGCTGGTATTTATTTCTTATTTTCTTATGAATTATCAAAAATCAAAATCTCTGATACATGTATAATGTACAACCAATCAGTAAAATAACTTCTCATCTTGGAATCTGTAGGAGCAGTACATGTAATCCGGACAAATGATGTACCCTTTTGGCAACCGCCCGAACGCCATTTTCACCATTTCAATAACCGGAGTTTTTTCCACAGAAAACACGGTTATGAAATAAAAAGATAAAACATTTTTTTCTACCACAATATTTCTTTAGGAGAGACTGAAAATGACTATTTACAGTGCATGACAAGATATGAACCATTTCCTATAACAAGTGACAATTCAGTATTACTAAATTCTAAAATAATTATCAAAAGACCGATACTTTTAAAAGTCGGTCACAATGTATTAAAAAAGGTAACCTGTTCAGCTCCCTGCTTTAAAAACTTTTAAGCCTGTTTAATTTTGCATTCAAGGACTGTTTGAGTTTCAAGGCACCTAAAATCCTTCTCTTAAGGACTGTTTGAGTTTCAAGGCACCTAAAATCCTTCTCTTCCTTGTCAACACCATTTGTCTATGTAACGAATTTCAGGACACATTTTTAAAATTACTTTAACTAGAAAATTTCAACAAACAATTGTACAATTTATTTCGAAATAATTAGCTTTATTTCTTGAAAAAAAATACGAGGCAGTTGATAACTTCTCAGTTCATTAATTTGTGTGCATTCATGTAGTTTTTATACTTACGGTATAATATATGAAAAAGACACACACACACACCCCCCCTTTAAAGTGGTTTGAATTAATACCGCCTGCTCACAGTTAAAAAAAAATTAAGAAAGAAGATACAGATAAAATAAAACTGTAGTGCAGTAAAAACGTAAAGCACAAGCCTTATACTTTGTATTTTCCCTATATGTTGTGTTTGCAAAAAAACAAAAAAAAAAAAAAACAGGAATTTTAAGTGACTTTTTGTAGTCTTAATTGCAGTTTGTTTGATTTTAATGGCGAATGGGAAATTAATCCAGATTTCTTCCAAAATACATGAAAATTGGAAAATGCTGGCATAACACTCGCTTAACTAATAAAATGTATAAAAAATTTACAGACCAGAAATTTGAATAAATTAGACACGGACAAGAGCAGAGTAGAAATCCTTACTGGCGAGGAAAAAAATTTATTCAACTATATGATTTGTTGAAAGCGGTTAATAAATTTCTCTGTCAGAATTTGACATGTTCGCTGGTGCAATTTACCTTGCCTAAATATTAAATTAATTCTGCCATTCTGTTCTTTCAAAGAGCGTTCATTTATAAGATATAAATTTAAAAGATCAGAATTAGTTGCACCTTACCCAACCACAAAATGAACTCGCACAGCGCACGGTTGTCATATTAGAACATCACGTTAATAAATAATGCACTCAAGCCAATCACTGGAATGGGAGTTTTCGATAATAGGAACGAGAAACAACAGTACTTAAGATAGTGTTAATATCGTAAATCCGGTGTATCGATATCGAACAATTGTACGGTGGGTTCAGTCCTCTGTTATAGCGCACTGCGTGCTGCATACTTTCTCGGCTGGATGTGAATTTCACAAACTGATAACCCGGCTATAAATCCATCATAGCCTGCTGATTTATTGCCATATCCATTTCATTTGAGTAGCTATCTTCTAGATACAGATTCAGTTAAAATATAAAAATAATGACACTTTGATTTTTTCGTGGCAGCAGTGGTAAAATTGATATAAAACACTTCATATTAAACCCGCAGTTGTCGTGCACGCAGGATTTTAAACTTTCGTTCCAATTTTCAAGACTTTTTTGGTTCCTTTACAGATCGAGTTCCCGAGTCTTTCACAATGACTTCGATCAAAGACGGTCAAGCGCCAGAGGGAGGGAAAAGATGTACTTCATTATTTGTTCTAAAACTGACAACAATCATCGCCAGTGTGTTATGTGTCATATTCCTCGTCGTTGTCATCATCTTAGCTGTCATCAAACTAGACAAACCAACATGCGTTCCAGGATTTAGTGTTGTTCCAAGAAACCTTGATAATCCGCAAGTGTTCGATGGGCTTACTCCAAAGGAGTACTTGTCAGCACGTGACTACCTCCTAAACGACAAAACATTAAACTTAGTGCCATTTTCTCAAGCAATCATCAATAGTTCGTATATATACATGATTGATCACCTAATGCCTTTAAAAGACGCAGTTTTGAAATATTTAAAAGGTGTATCTAAGATGCCCGAACGGACAGCAAAAGCGATAATTATTAGGGGTGATTTGAATCCGCCTCGAGTTGAGGAATACATTGTTGGACCGTTGCCAAATCCTACGTATCATAAATTAGCGACAAATCCGTCCTTTACAAAGTCTAGAATTCCATATAGTGCCAAACCTGTAGACGATGTGGAATACGGCCAATTATACGCCATGTTGTTCAATATATCAGTGGATTTGTATCCATTGCTATATGGAAGTTATAAACTCTCGTATCATAATTGTACAAAAGGAGTTGACTGCCTGGTTTGGTTTGATATCGCACCTAGAGGACGTGTTAGTGGGGAAAGGAAAACCTGGTTTTGGTCATTTAGAGATGTTGAGGGGTTTTATCTGCATCCATTGGGACTAGAAATACAAATCGATCACTTATCTACCGACCCAAAGGAATGGAAAGTAACCAAAGTGGTTTACAACGGTCAGATGTTTTTCGAAGTTGAAGATCTTGTTACTCGTTATAAAGGAGTTAATTTACTAAGAAAAATTAACTATGAAACTTTAGGCGCTAGAGAGTATTTATACTCATCATACAACCGTAGAGGACAAAGTGAAATGCCTGATCCACTTCAAGGGCCTAAGCTTGTAGAACCCGATGGGCGTCGGTACCACATTGACGGACAACATGTATCATACATGCACTGGGACTTTAATTTCAAAATGAGACCCTCAACTGGTCTACAGATTTTTGATGTACGGTTTCAGGAAGAAAGGATTGCGTATGAAATATCCTTACAAGACGCTGTTGTGTTTTATTCAGGCTTTGGGCCTGTACAAGGAACCAGTAATTATTTCGATGCTTCTTGGATGATGGGGGCCACATGCAATGAGCTTGTTCCTGGCGTGGATTGTCCAGAAACAGCGGTATTTTTCGATGCCGATCTCCTTACAAATTCACACAAGCCTTGGAAGATTAAGAACTCCGTTTGTGTGTTCGAAGATACAGCAAACATGCCACTACGCCGTCATTTTACAAATTCTGCAAAAGGTTACAGAGAATATGGGGGATTAGTAGATTATCATCTTGTCGTAAGGACGATTACCAACATTTGGAACTATGATTATATTTTTGATTACATATTTCATCAAAATGGTGCTGTTCAAGTCAGAACATCTGCCACTGGGTACGTTCAAGCAACGTATGCCTTATACCAAGAGAGAAAATTTGGATATCCTATTTATAATGACGTAGTGGCCAACATACATCAACATCTGTTCAACTACAAAGTAGATCTGGATATCAACGGTGTTCAGAATAGTTACGCCACTTTAGATGTATCAACGCAGAAATCAAAAGTAGAATGGACTAAAGGTGCCTATAAAACTGAAATGATTTTTGAGAAAAATATTCAGCAAAATGAGCTGGACGCTGGTCCTGGACAATTAAATAATACGAAACCAAAGTACGATATAATTCTAAATGAACATGCCACTAGCAAATTTAAATCGGAGCGAGGTTACCGAATTCTCAATCACGGGAAAGTTAAATTCATTTTGGAGGAGAGTGAGGTTACTAAAGCAGCAAATTGGGCCAAATACCCATTAGTGATAACAAAATATCACGATTTCGAAGATATGAGTACCTCCATATATGCACAAAATGACCCTTGGGACCCACTGCTGGACTTTGACAAGTTCATACAAAACAATGATTCTATTGTTAATACAGATCTTGTGGCATGGGTCACAATGGGTGTGTTACACATCCCCCACACAGAAGACGTCCCATCAACCACCACTCCCGGAAGTCAAGTGAACTTTTTTCTACTTCCTTTTAATTATTTTACAGAGTGCCCCAGTGTTTCGTCACCAAATACCGTGAAAATTAGGCCTAAACAAGAGGGTGGTATTGATTTAAACACTTACGGTACCACTTTTGAATCAAAGTGTGTTCAGAAATCAAATGGACCAGAAACGTTCGATGGACGCATACATAATGTGGATTTATAATTACTGTGATATTTCAACTTCATTATTGTATTCATGTTAATAAATTATTACCTATATAGATATATAAAAAGTATACAGTCATATTGCATTCTATATATATAGATATTGGATATGTTTAATTTTTATCTTTGTAATACAACGTTAATGGCTTTGGCGAAGTTGTGTTTTCTATTCATGTTTTTTTTTCTGTATGCAAGTTAAAGATATTTTAAAAAAAGGAAAGAGTAATTTGAAATTTTGTTCTTGACAGAGAAATTGAAACCGATGGAGTGTCTCCCGTTCTTCTTGTTGGTTGTTTTTTTTTTCTCCTTTTTTTTTTTTAATTTTTATTTCTATTTATTTTTTTTTTATTTTGGTGTTTCCATCCCCCTCTCTCTCCACTGATTTCAATACAGAACTAGCTTATTTAAGTGCAATGGTTGGGTGCTTTTTTTAGTCAAATTACAAAAGTCCTAATATCAGTTTTTGATTTTTAGAGAATTGTGTTGTCATTTTTACTATACATAATTATTTGTGACCTTCTTTAAAAGCAATTTTTTATACAGTTTTGATCCGATTTCTTTATTAAAACTTTCAATAAAAGCGCACTAAGCAGGCTATTCTTTTTTTTTTTAACCAACGGCATTGTAATGATTCCTAAAATAGAAATTTTCTCAAACATTTTTCTTACAATTTTGGAAGTTTCAATGACACTTAGTATAAGTTGACTACACTGAAATATAGAATTCTATAATTTTAAATATGTATTTATTCCGTGGAATGGTGTTGCCTTGGCTACGAAAAATATATTTTTTAGTGAAACTCGTATTTACTGTTGAACCTTCATTTTTTGGTCCGATTTTAATTTGGATTCAGAAGTGCCAAATCGCGATATATAATTTAAATATTGATACACAATGTTGGAATTAATATAAGAAATTAAATCATGTGTGGAATTCTTTCATAATTCTATTCCGCCTACAATAGTGGTCTGAGTTCAATTTAAAAGTGTACACAAGAAGACAAAATCAGAGCTCATACTTTTATTTATTGGCAATGCCAAAGCTACGAGAAAAGGAAAGTATTTCATGTATAACAAAATACATGTATGTCAAAATGCTTCTACTCACTGCATGTTAAGAAAATATCAGATTTCATTAAAACGACATCGCTGTTTCCTCATATTTGTGTTGATTAACATGACGTCGGAGAAATAACTGATTTTAATAAGTTTGTTTTCCCTATATATGTTTGTCTGAGACTGCTGGTTTGAAGCTCACCAATGTAAAGAAAATTCTGATTGATGACCAGAGAACTACAAATCCACCCAAGAAAACAAAAGTTTATTTCATCGCTCTCTCACATGTAACAGTTATTACTGTCCCGAAATTATCTAGTTGTACACAGTTATGTATGTTTACATTCCTAGGATAACCATCAACCCTGACTGCCATTAGAACTTAGAAAGTGTTATTCATCTATTTTACGATAATATCGCCCGCTACCTCACCTCAGTCGCCGACATCTTATCAGTGATGACGGACAGATTGAGAGTGACGATGAACTGTTGAAAGCAAGTGGCAACATTTCACCCTGAAAGTAAACACTCTTCTGATTCAGAAGCAGAATGATATATGAGTAAGAAATATGTTAGATAAGTTAAATGATATCCAGTCTTTTTTCTTTTATATTACTTTCATTTTAAAGATATACACGCTATATAAAAGCGATTTTAATGTGAAACAAAATGATTAAATGATTTGAGAAACATGATGTGTAATACAAAATAATACCTTCCACAAAGATCTGCTAAACAAGTTGTTGTAATTACAAAACAATTAAGCTAAATCTGCAATTAGGAATTCAGCCTGTTCTTGAATATTGATGAAGGAATGCGTAAACAGTATATAGACACGCATGTCCACTGGAATTCATAGACGACAAGGTGCGTTGCATTTTGACTACAATTATGAATAAAAGGTCAATATCTGTCATTACAGAGTAGATGGTATAATACTAGTTGTTTTAAAGGATAAGTATATTTAAGCATTAGACGTGTGCCATCCATTTCAAAAGTTATTTGTATACCAAACGGCCTACCTCGCTTTCTTGACGCCATTTTTGTTTATCGTTAGATAAAATTAGCGACGGTGTCACATGATGCATGAATTTAAATATAGAGGCATTATTTTCCTAGCCGGAAAATAAATAATTATGATTTGAGATCTTTATAACGCGTTCATTTTTAATTGTTTAATTTATTGTATTTTCGTGACTTTATTTGGTAAACAAAATAAATAAATTTCCAACTTAATTTTCATCTGACGCAAGTTATAGCGTGTACATCTTAAAGTATATTAAGCATATGGAGAAATGCTGTTCATTTTGCTTATTGACAAAGCGGCCATATTGAAGCTACATGTACATGAATTATAATAGCAGTAGATTCCATAAAGGTATATATAAAACAAAAATTATATTCACATACTAATTCCCGATCGGATAAAATTCTACCGCCGATGATTTGATTTGTTCTAAAATCTTCTCTCAGAAATCACATAAAGAGAATGGCATCATGAATTGTCAACTGTTCATCACTTTAAAAAGTCTGCTTTACCAATACACGTTTACATATCTAATCAAAAGTTGTGGAAATAATAAAATGAATGGGGTTCTTTTTAAAATCCAGAATAAAATTTGGAATTGAGTTTACACATGATCTTATGAATATCAATGAGAAATAAATCACGTGAATCAATCTTATGATTATGAATATCAAACTGAACATTTCTCAATTGTAATTGTATGGAATGCGTTTAGATTTATATTATGTTGAACTTAACCTAATTGAAAAAAAAAACAAAACAAAACAAAGTATCATGTTGTAAATTTTGAACTGACTGGAAAGGGGGGGGGGGGTAAATGCAAAATTTCAACATGATATCTAATTATCATGTTGTAAATTTTGCATTTACCACCCCCTAGTCAATTCAAAATTTACAACATGATAAAAGAGTTAATGTGCGATTAAAAAAAGGAGAGAGAGCAAAGTCTAAATTCTAAATAATAATGATGCATGCAACAAAGAATTATTTTCATGTACTGTATAGTTCTTTTCTTTCTTTTTCTTTTTTTTTTTTTTGCATAATACTACTCGTTAAACTGAATAAAAATTATTGTCTCAACATGAAACTTGTATAATATGCAGAGTGTATGTAGTTAAACAACGATCAGAAAAGCGGGAAAGCGAATGACAATTGAGTTTAGATTATCTGCCAGTAAATGTTAATTTAACTTTTAAAAGGGAGGGTGTAAAAGTAATTAATAGTTTTAAATAATTTTTGATTTAAAACACCGCAAAATTTCCTTCAGCAACCTTATTATTCTTCCTGACTTTTAAAGAGTTTTACTAGCTGACAAAATGTCAATATCATTTAACAAATATATCGTATTGTAAACTTTAAATTTTCAGAAATTATGACCCACTTATAATTTTAGAAATCGAATAACAGGTGTTATTACAATATTATGTCACTAAGTCTTGTACAGTGTATAGTCCAAATCTTACCAAAATCAGAGGTTACATCCACTTGTTAGTATGTGGTTTGATGGAATTCAATTTTAAGTACCGGTAATTTTAATATATTCTTCTCCAGATTAAAGATTAAGAAAAGTTTAATATTTCGACAACACGGTTACATTTTAAATCTTGCCAGCTGTTCTAACTATTATCATCAATGGGTGTAAAACTGGTATATTGGAAATACATGTACAACGCAGACTTGCCGATTTCTATACAAATGCCGAGAATTGTTTTAAAAGATGAATTTAATTTTTGAGAATTCATGAGGACATGAACTACGACGCTTTACGCCGGCATATTTCATGAAGCGCATTAGCGCTTCATGATAAATATCCAGGCATGAAGCCTTGTAGTTCATGTACCTGATGGATTCTCAAAAATTAAATTCATATCTTATACTTACATGTACATTATTTTTCTGATGACTTGCCACATATTTTTGTCATTCAACGATAATTTTTTGAAAAATAGATTGTACTTTTTACTTCAATTACATTACAATGGAAATGTTCTTACTTATCCCACGGTATTTCATGAGAACGTGAACTTTTTATAATTTGCAAAGAATCCTAGGGATAAATATTTGGAAATGTAAATATTAAAAAATAAGCAAAGATGTTTTCCACAGCAAGTGGTGAAGAATGACAAGGAAAGAAAACTTCAATAATTTGATAAACGTAACCCTAGACATAGTAGTCAGAGTTATTTTTCTTGAACTGTATTATACATTGTCACAGGCATACTGAGTTTTCAAGATGTACCTGTATCGCAATTGCTGATGTTTAATTTGTTATGTCGACAGATTTTTCTCTTTTTTCCATGATATTGGTTTAAATTACATGTATTTATTGATTATTTGGTAAAATGCATTTGTAAGTATTTTTTATCCACTTAGGTCAGTCGCGGCCGAGATTCGAACTCACGACCTTCCGATCAAGGAGCGAACGCTCTACCGACTGAATATTACGGAAGCCCCCTTATAAAACGAACTTAATCTGTGATATCGAAGTTATTGAATTTGAGATACCAAATCAAAAACTCTCAAATTTAATTTCCAATCTGATATACATGTAACGAATTAAAAATTCTAGATGATACCTTTGGCAAAGTCTTTATGCAATTTTGCTAAGATATACTCTCTTATATTTGTGTATAGCTAAAGTCAGATAAAATCCGATTTTGATAAGTCTGTTTTCCTCACGTATGTGTGTCTGTAACCAATGTATAGACCTTCACTATACAGATCCGTAATAGGTAGGGGTAGTTTTTTTTTTACCGAGAAAAGTCTTTTGCCGTAGTTTTAATGTGTATATTTTCATTTAGAAATGCTACTAGCCCTCCTCCCCCTAAACATACACTCTTTTTGTTGCTTTTTTTCGAACTCAAGGAATTTCAGCAAGAAATAGGATTCTTTAGTTTGGGAATTTTATTTATTTTTTAAGCTCACTTGAGCTGAAAGTTCAAGTGAGACTCGATATATCCCAGTGAGTCTGATATAAAAGATACCACAGAGTCTGACACATCTGTTTCATATTTCGATATTTTACTAGAAAAAGACGTTAATGGTAACCTAACAACAAAGCTTTATGATAAACG